GTCAAGATTGTTAGCCACCCACCGGTGTGTGCAGAATGGGACCCAATGAGTTGTATATATTATACATGTATATATATATATAGAGAGAGAGATTACTTAGACATGAAAATATATACTGTCTGTTTATACTACTCATTGTATTTGTAGTTGTTCGTGTAACTATGATGTGTATATGTATACGTATTTGCATATTAATTATATCTATATGTACATGTACGTATATTGCATATATAATCATATACATATATTGTAAGCGTATCCCCGTATCTACAGTTTATGGCCCAACTAACAGCTATAAATGGACATATAACTCCTATAACTCAGGTTATATCATGAAATAAACCCATCAAAACAAATGTTCATCTACATGATTTTCCCATTAACACTCCATTTATAGGGGATGTCTTATGATTTTCCAATGATTTTCCTCAAGTTAAAGGGCCATAACTGTAGTGGTTCAACGCCCCGGTTGATGATGACCCACAGCTTGAAGGTCAGCCACGTGACTTGCAGCGCTGTAGGTACGACTCGCGGAATCTGCATCACAGTTCTCAAAAACCTGTGACTAGAACAACTTACAAAGAAAGGACCGGAAAAACACAGGTGTGGCCCAACTCACAGTTATTTTTTGATGGGTTTATTAATAATGATAGAGTTTACCTGAGTCATAGGAGTTATGCAGGTATAAAAATAACTGTTAGTTGGGCCATAACTGCAGGAAATGCAGGCAACAAAGCATCAAAACGGAGGAGAAATAGGGATCTATAGCCGATTTATGATGTTTTTTGGGTTAGTTCATTACAAGAACTGTTGAATTTACTTTTGGGATATATCAAACTAGCTCAATGGGGTTATACGATTGAAAAAACATAATGTTTTTGGGGGCCACTATGATAATGGGCCGAGGATCATCCATGGTAACCCCCAGCGAACTTCCGTTGTTTACTATTGGATTCTCCTACAAAACAAATAGTTAATATTCAAAACATGATTAACAGTGTTAATAATTAATATTGTTAATATAATGATTAACTTTTTGGATGGATGGTGATATGAATGAATTCAAAACTGTTATAATATTTGGGGATATGTGGTGGGCAATGTCGATGAACACTTCACCAACTGTTGGGATATCATGTGGAGAGCTGCTTGTCGATGAACACTTCACCAACTGTTGGGATATCATGTGGATATAATGGGAGGCAATGAAATTGCAAGATTTGATGGATACATTTTACATCATGTTACCATCAAAATGATTGGCTGACAGTGATTTAATCATCAAAACATATGATATAATGGGGATATAAAAAAGGGGAAGCAGGAAAGAATGGTGATATGATAGGGATTTATGGATTGATTAGAAATTTGGTTCATCATGGTATAATCGGGACCGGGATGTGTATATGCAAATAACTATATATATAATTATATATAATATGATATATTATATATATATATATTAATATAAAAATGGTAATGGGCACATAATATGCACATTATGGGTATATACTGGTGATATAACTTGGATACAATTATAGGGCTATTTTTAGGCTTTCAGTTGGTTGTAACCCTCTGGTAATCAACTACGGCTGGAAAATCACCATCGAACTACATGACGAATTTCGCTCGCCATGGCCATGATTTCAGCTGAAAAGACTGACTGAACTGAAACCAAACTTGGGCAAAATTCGGTAAACCATCTTGGGCTGAATGATTCTTGCAGTTTCGACAAATGGTGCAACCAATTCCAAAGTACCCGTACTGTTACTCAGTTGTTGAAGTCATCTGTCTTGACTGACCGTAAATACCGAAGTGTCACCTGCTGTTCTTGATGGGATCTCAATTCCCCCGTGGCCAACATCATGGGACTTCCAGGTAAACCATCCCCAATTGTGGATGCTTTGTTGGATTCAGCTTACCACATCTTACCACAAAACACAAATCGCACATAAAATTCGTATTAGTTACATGACCCATCATATCACCCATCTGCTGGCGGCTGTATTAGTTATCAATATCATATGTTTGATCACCATACATCACCATACATCACCATACATCACCATAGATCACCATACATCACCATACATCACCATACATCACCATACATCACCATACATCACCATACATCACCATACATCACCATACATCACCATACATCACCATACATCACCATACATCACCATACATCACCATACATCACCATACCTCACCATACATCACCATACATCACCATACATACCTCACCATACCTCACCATACACCATACATCACCATACATCACCATACATCACCATACATCACCATACATCACCATACATCACCATACATCACCATACATCACCATACATCACCATACATCACCATACATCACCATACATCACCATACATCACCATACATCACCATACATCATACATCACCATACATCATACATATCACCATACATCACCATACATCACCATACATCACCATACATCACCATACATCCCCATCACATCACCATACATCACCATACATCACCATACATCACCATACATCACCATACATCACCATACATCACCATACACCACCATACATCACCATACATCACCATACATCACCATACATCACCATACATCACCATACATCACCATACATCACCATACCTCACCATACCTCACCATACCTCACCATACCTCACCATACCTCACCATACCTCACCATACCTCACCATACCTCACCCTACATCACCCTACATCACCCTACATCACCCTACATCACCCTACATCACCCTACATCACCCTACATCACCCTACATCACCCTACATCACCATACATCACCATACATCACCATACATCACCATACATCACCATACATCACCATACATCACCATACATCACCATACATCACCATACATCACCATACATCACCATACATCACCATACACCACCATACATCACCATACATCACCATACATCACCATACATCACCATATATCACCATATATCACCATATATCACCATACATCACCATACATCACCATACATCACCATACATCATACATCACCATACATCACCATACATCACCATACATCACCATACATCACCATACATCACCATACATCACCATACATCACCATACATCACCATACATCACCATACATCACCATACATCACCATACATCACCATACATCACCATACATCAACATACATACATACATCACCATACATCACCATACATCACCATACATCACCATACATCACCATACATCACCATACATCACCATACATCACCATACATCACCATAAATCACCATACATCACCATACATCACCATACATCACCATACATCACCATACATCACCATACATCACCATACATCACCATACATCACCATACATCACCATACATCACCATACATCACCATACATCACCATACATCACCATACATCACCATACATCACCATACATCACCATACATCACCATACATCACCATACATCACCATACATCACCATACATCACCATACATCACCATACATCACCATACATCACCATACATCACCATACATCACCATACATCACCATACATCACCATACATCACCATACATCACCATACATCACCATACCTCACCATACATCACCATACATCACCATACATCACCATACATCACCATACATCACCATACATCACCATACATCACCATACATCACCATACATCACCATACATCACCATACATCACCATACATCACCATACATCACCATACATACCTCACCATACCTCACCATACCTCACCATACACCATACATCACCATACATCACCATACATCACCATACATCACCATACATCACCATACATCACCATACATCACCATACCTCACCATACCTCACCATACCTCACCATACCTCACCATACATCACCATACATCACCATACATCACCATACATCACCATACATCACCATACATCACCATACATCACCATACATCACCATACATCACCATACATCACCATACATCACCATACATCACCATACATCACCATACATCGCCATACATCGCCATACATCGCCATACATCGCCATACATCGCCATACATCGCCATACATCGCCATACATCGCCATACATCGCCATACATCGCCATACATCGCCATACATCGCCATACATCGCCATACATCACCATACATCACCATACATCACCATACATCACCATACATCACCATACATCGCCATACATCGCCATACATCGCCATACATCGCCATACATCGCCATACATCGCCATACATCGCCATACATCGCCATACATCGCCATACATCGCCATACATCGCCATACATCACCATACATCACCATACATCACCATACATCACCATACATCACCATACATCGCCATACATCGCCATACATCGCCATACATCGCCATACATCGCCATACATCGCCATACATCACCATACATCACCATACATCACCATACATCACCATACATCACCATACTCAGCCATAACATCACCATACATCACCATACATCACCATACATCCACCATACAGACCATACATCACATACAATCACCATACATCACCATACATAAATCAATCACCAACCACTACATCACCATACATCACCATACATCACCATACATCACCATACATCACCATATATCACCATACATCACCATACATCACCATACATCACCATACATCACCATACATCACCATATATCACCATATATCACCATACATCACCATACATCACCATACATCACCATACATCACCATACATCACCATACATCACCATACATCACCATACATCACCATATATCACCATACATCACCATACATCACCATACATCACCATACATCACCATACATCACCATACATCACCATACATCACCATACATCACCATACATACATCAACCATACATCACCCATACCTCACCATATATCACCATACACAGCCATACAATCACCATACATCACCATATATCACCATAACATCCAAACCATATATCACCATATGAGTCACCATACATCACCATACATCCACAAGACATCACCATATATAACCAGACTCACATATATCACCATACATCCCATATATATCACCCCATACATCACATACATCACCATATATCATCAATCATCACCATACCTCACCATACATCACCATACCTCACCATACCTCACCATACCTCACCATACCTCACCATACCTCACCATACCTCACCATATATCACCATATATCACCATACCTCACCATACCTCACCATACATCACCATACATCACCATACATCACCATACATCACCATACATCACCATACATCACCATACATCACCATACACCACCATACATCACCATACATCACCATACATCACCATACATCACCATACATCACCATACATCACCATACATCACCATACATCACCATACATCACCATATATCACCATACATCACCATACATCACCATACATCACCATACATCACCATACATCACCATACATCACCATACATCACCATACATCACCATATATCACCATACATCACCATACATCACCATACATCACCATATATCACCATACATCACCATATATCACCATATATCACCATATATCACCATATATCACCATACATCACCATACATCACCATACATCACCATACATCACCATACATCACCATACATCACCATACATCACCATACATCACCATACATCACCATAGATCACCATACATCACCATACATCACCATACATCATCATAGATCACCATACATCACCATACATCACCATACATCACCATACATCACCATACATCACCATACATCACCATACATCACCATACATCACCATATATCACCATATATCACCATACATCACCATATATCACCATACATCACCATACATCACCATACATCACCATACATCACCATACATCACCATACATCACCATACATCACCATACATCACCATACATCACCATACATCACCATACATCACCATATATCACCATACATCACCATACATCACCATACATCACCATATATCACCATACATCACCATATATCACCATACATCACCATACATCACCATACATCACCATATATCACCATACATCACCATACATCACCATACATCACCATATATCACCATACATCACCATATATCACCATACATCACCATACATCACCATACATCACCATATATCACCATATATCCATGTCTTGTTGCTTTGAATCCCCCATCTTCTCAATGGCGTGGAAAAATCTCCCCCCCTCCATCCCCAGCTCCACAGCTCCGCAGGTGTGGAGATTTTTTTCTCGGTGTGTTCACTGGCAAATCACCCGTTTCCATGTGCAGTTTGATGCTTTAAACCCCAAGTTCAATCAATGGGAATAAAAAAGGATCCAGTTGATGGAGGTACGTTAGTACCATATTTCAGGCCATATTTTGTGGGGATATTCCTTGAAATTCAGGCCTGAAAAATAGGCCTTATATATGGCAGGTACCTCCAATCAAGGATCCTGAAATGGCCATTGATTCAATGAATTTTCTAACCACAACTGCCCCCCACCCAATATATCCATATCATCTTCGAACGGTTGTCCCCTTTCCATTCTTTTCCCATTCAAAAACCCATCAGATCCCAGGTTTTTAAGCACAACTGCAGCTCCAAGTACCCTCTGGCAACTAACATAGCTATGGAACATCATGGCTTCCATAGCTATGTTAGTTTACTGGAGGGTAACCCCGCCTGTAGGACGTTCTGTTTCATCTGAGGGTTTTGGCTGAGCGTCAGATGGAGGCAGCCCATCAAGCACTGCGCAGTTTGCTGACTGGAAACCTCCATGGCAGGATTGTTTGAACCATGCAATGGTGGGTTTACACCAATCAGAATGATAGCATGTGTATATATATATATCAATATAAATACACATATACAATCATATATATATACACTAATATATACAGAATATATGCAGTATATAATATATATATATATATACATACTGAAGCATGGTATACCATACAGCATAGCAACATCTGGGTTCATTCTTGGGGTATATCTTCGCAAATCTTCCGTGGAGCCATCTTCAGTGCGATCCGTGAGATGATCCAACAAGATTGGTAACTAGAATGTTGTTGTTCAGGGATTTGGCTACAGTTATGGCCCAACTAACAGTTATATGTTCATGGGTTTATTTCAACATATATAACCAGATTTTTTTGAGTTATATAAAACCATTTATAACTGTTTTCAGGGCCATAACTATATGAGTGAGCATGACAAAAACGGATTTCAAATTTGTCGATCCAGAACAGTCACCTGTCACAGTCACAAAAGTCGCCTGGCCGCAGAGTTGGTCTCGGCAGCGATCTTCCACCAACCAAATGCAAGGAACGGATTGGTTGAAGAAACTCTCCTCCACAGTTGGTGCTGAGAAAATAGCTAGGATTATTCACAGCTTATTAATATGATAGCTGGCTATGTTGGTATAGTTCACGATAGAACAACTGTTGGGTTTATTTTTGGGATGCATCGAAGCAAATAGACGGGGTTACATAAGCCAACAAACATAAGGTCTGGGGAGGCCCACTATGAGAATGAGCTGAGGATAATCCATGGAAACCCCCAGCGAACTTGCGTTTTTGATTTGGGGATGATCTTCCAAAAAACGCAGGGGTGTGACTCACGTGTATGCTGGTTGATTCGTAATTCATAATGCTATACCAACATTATGGATACGTGGTGACATGTTAGGCCCCCGAAGGAGAGCGCTGTTGGGTAACTAGGGGAGATATATCGAACTAGCTACATGGGGGGTTTGAGTACCAACTTAATGTTGGTAAAACAATAATAAACAGTAATAAACCATCCCCAAAATCAGCATAAATAGGTGGTATAGACCATTCCCACAAATGGGTGGTTTACTATTGTTTTACCCACGTTCTAACGTTTGGGGGTGCCACTTTGTAGCGAAGAGCAAGCCATCGTAACCCTGGTGAACTTCCGTTTCTGAAGTAAGGACGGCTATTTTGTGGAAGGTGGGGCCCCCAAACGTTAGAACTTGGTTTGTAAACCCTGGTATAGTTTTATCTACTATACCATAATAATACTGGTTGGTGTTTTGAACCATCTTGAAAAATATTAGTCAGTTGGGATGATTATTCCATATATTATGAAAAAAATCATGTTCCAAAAAACCAACCAGAATACCATAATGTACTATAATTATTGGACTTATGTTCACCAACTTAGCTATCCATTAAGTGGGCCCCGCATTGGAGGGATTATTCACCAGCGACCCGCGTTTTTCCAACGCGCCGCCCTACTGGCAGATCCATTGCCATGATCAAGGTGAAGTAATATCTTCTATCCATCTTCTATCCCCATGGGGATGCCAATTACCATTGGGATGGAATTGAATTACAAATAATGGGAATTGAAGTAATTCAATCCAATAATAATTACCACATCCAAAATTAATTCATTCAATCCATTCAAAAAATATAGGGATGCTAAAAATAAAAAAAATGATTCTATCTAGATTTTTTTCTCCGTTAATGATCATCAAAATGATCATCTATTCTGGATTATCATCTATTCTGGATTCCCCAGATGCTCCATGGTGCTGGAATATTTACCTACATTTAATTGGGTGATTTTGGACAAGGGCAGTTTTGTCGGTGTGCAAATTCCAGCACCATGCTTCGCATATGGATTCGAATTCTGATTCGAATACTGTCTGTTGATCCAAAGATCACCAGGGGAACTCAACTTGGGCCCTTGGTTTGATCCACCTTGATCCGGTTTTGAAAAGGGGCCTAACGCAGATTTTTCTGACGGAAAATGTATCCCATATTATCCGATATTAGTTCACCATGGTGCTGGTGTATAAAAACCTACAAAACTGACTGGGTGATTTTGGACAAGGGCAAATGTTGGTAAATATTCCGTACATGGAGCATATGGGTATTGCTGAAACATCCCGAAACATTTCTAAATTATATATATATATATATACATCGATTATGGCTTCCCAGAATCCCTCATGAACTTTGGAACCATCATCACAGCACCTTTTGTCTCTAAATTTCAAATTCAATGTGCCAACAAAATGGATCTAAACAACCTAAATATCATGAATAAATCACCATCAACTTAGAGATGGTTTGTGGTTTCGCTACTTTGATCTACGTTTCTCCAACCCGAAACCCGCCTGAACTCACCCGAACCCGAACCACCTTTTCACCGCGACCAAGTCTCGTACCAATCACTGCCTTGGAAAAGGCACCAGTCGCGGTGCGAATCCAGAATTCCGCTCATGGATTCCTGGCAACCGATCCGCACACCCGAACTGTGAACATTGCTCATTGCTAATCTTAGATACCCTGCAAAAAAAAAGCTGGTTAGATATTCCCATTAATACCAAAAGACTAAAGGATTAAAGTATCCATGTAAGATTGACCTAGTGAACACGGCACCAGTGAACAACCCACGTGGTGAACAGTCGGATAATGAATGAAAACGATATTTTCTAAACACATATAAAAACCCGTGCCATCCCGTGCCAAATGGCTTCTGCTTGCATTGTTTTCTCAAGCAAAGCCACATCTTTATGAATGGAATGATGTTGAAGTGTTGGACCAGCCATTTTTCTTGCGAAAAAATGGACCTAGCCATTCTTGTGTGTGTTGGGGAACTCATGAGCTAGGCACGAGCATTCATCCCAATAAAACAATCCCATCCAATCTGCACGAGTCAGATTTACAATGATTTACATTCCAACCACCACCAGTCCGAAAACACAAAAACAAACAAAAACATGGTACCCGAACCAAAATCCCCATCACAATTGCAATTCATTGGGGCCCATACGTCATTTTTGGACATCCTGATGGTATACTCGTGATCACCCTCAAATGCATTTTTGTTAGTCAAACCAGCCATTGCCTTGCTGTCTTAGCCCTCTTAGCCCTGCTGTCCATTTTTCCTGCCTCCAAGGCGTCGTTTCGCTGCAGGAAGTTCAAGCTGTACTGCAGCTGCGATCCGGGAAGAGCCAGGGTGGTCTTGATGGACTGCGCGCAGACCTGTCGCGAGTTCCGTGGTTTTGAAGTGCTGAGAACCACAGGTTCCAAAGGTTCCAAAGGTTTCAAAGTTCATGAGGGATTCTGGGAAAGCATATTCTGTATAATCTCTATTCCTGTTTCGGGAATACATGAAATACAGTTATGGCCCAAGTTAGAAACGGAAATATAACTCGTACTCAGGTTATATATCATGAAATTAAATAAACCCATAGAAATAACTGTTGAGGGGCATAACTGTAGATCCACTAGAAATGGTTGCGAAGCCATGAAATATACCGAGCAGTTATTAACCACTTTAGTGACTCTATGGCCTATCTAAGTAATCCTTTTCCAGAATGGTTGCAATGACAAACAATGACAAGACAACCATGCTTAAACACATGTTAATATTGCAAAACCTTTGTTGTCACTTAGATATAAGTGTAATCACATATCAACCACTGTGTAAAAAGGGTTCCCATGCTGGGTCTAATAATCCCTCGTTCAAGTTGAAACCGTACCTCATAGGAAGATGGTGCCTTCCACAGTCCGTGAAGCAGTTCGTGAAGACGTGAAGTCATTATATCCAGATATTATAGATTCTATCTAAGAATTCTTCGAATTATAATAGTTATCATATCTACAGATATAGACGAATATTATGTATAGATATATCTATTTTAAAAAACATAATCCAATTTTACTACAATTTTAACAATCGATTGAAACCTCATGACGAAACACAATCCTTCGACGCCAGGGAACATCTGCTGAGATCCCTTTCCAGTCTACGAAGGAGCGTAGTGGCAGCACCAGGAAAAGCCTTAAAGCAGCTGCGCATGGACCAATTTTTAACCCATGGACAAATGAAAGTTTACCATGAAACATCAGGTTTGTTCATGGAATATTTATTGAAAAATGATGGGGTTTTTCAATTTTTAGCCCAGTGAACTCGCCGTTCAAGCGTGGAAAAATAGGGAATCAACCATTAAACATGAGGATTGTTCGTGGAATATTGATGGGACATGAACAGGATATAAAGTACATGAATGTACATGATATACATCGTGGGCCCTCAAATCTTGTTGTTTGGTTTATAACCCCATTTAACTATATATAGTTTGATATATCGGCCATGAACCCGACTTAGATATCGATTGGATTGGATTGGGTGTGCCTGAAGATAGGATAAATCCTGGATTTTGGACTATTCTAGCGGGGAAAATGGTGATCAAAAACAATGAAACTTGGGAATATCCTGTTTTCAAACCTCAATTCAAGCCGGGTAAATTAGAACCCTAAGGAATTTCACCATGCCACTAACATCAGCAGAAATTGTCAAGGTACAGGAAGGGAGGTAGGAAACCGATGAGCCATGTGCACCAAACTGCACGTCTCGATGACCTGTGCGGCGAGCTTCAGTAAACATAAATAGCAATGGAAAGTCTCCATGCGCAAATGGAACATAATCAAACAACCTTAAATAGGGCACGTGTCTTCTATTATATGAAAAAAATGTTTTTGTTTACTCAACCCAACTTAAGTAAGGGTGCCCCAAAAAATACAAACAAAGTTGTAAGTTGTAACCTTATATCATAGGGGTCAACGGTTACGACCAACACGCAGCTATGATTAGGTCACAAACCAGTTCAATGGGGGTTACAATCCAGTTACAAATCGTTAGTCACACGTGGCAGTGGAACATCCCCATGAAAATAGAAGGATTTCCGGAGGCTACTTAGATCGGCTATAAAGCTTACACCGATCCCAAAGTAGATGGCGCAACTCAAAAACCAAAATACCCAAAAGATGGGACCGCGCGGTGGGGAAAAAAACGGCGCTATTTTGGCTGGAATTTAAAACGAGTTGCGCCATCTATGTGGATTGTGTCAAAGATCCAATTGAGGAAAAATCGCCCCAAAAGACCAATTTAGGTAGATGGATATAAGGGTGGTGCCAGGAGGGGACACACAACGGGGGGAGGCACAACGGGGGATCAAGGCAAGGGCGACTGATCAAGGCACAACGGGGAGCCCACGGGGAAGGGCATCCAGGCATGAGACTTTGGCGCAAGTCAGGAAAGGGCTTGATGATGAGGACAGGACAAAGTTCTGTTTGCCATCTATGTGGTTTGGAATCTGTTTCGAAACAGGCCTGATTCTTGGGGCATATTTCTGGCTCAGGATGAAAGGAGATGCGCCGTCTATGTGGCATATATTGGTTAGGTCGCTTGAGGGACGTCGGGAGATATGAGGGACTTGCGCCATCTATGTGGGCATTCCCAGCCTGATTTTGGCGAATGAGTGGGACTTGCGCCATCTATGTCCCCGAAAGGCAGCTTGATGTTGAGGAAAAAATGTGGGTGCAATTCAGGGCAAAAAATTGCACAAAATATGTTTTTTTTAGGGACATACATGGCGCAAACTACCTGTTTGAAATGGAGTTGCGCCATCTATCCCCTGCATTTTGCCTTTGACATAGATGGCGCAAGTCAAGAAATTGAGCCATTTACTTTGAGACCGGAGTAGTTCACTGCTTAGGAACTGGGTTCGAAGCCATGAAATACGCCCGGTTCTGTTCGGGATTTTTTACCCATGGCCCATCCAAGTGAATTCTCGTAAATCTGAATAAATTGTAAGCTGGTTGGTGGTTTCGACCCCTCTGAGAAATATTAGTCAGCCTGGAGATTCATTCTCCGAGAAAAAAGAAGGAGTTCTTGCTTTCTAGTGGTTTTAGGGGTTTCAGTAGTTTTATGTAATTTCCCAACGATTATCCACATTTCCCAGCGAGATCTCCCACACGCACTTTCACGACATTTTCCTGACGACATCCTGCATGTTCAAGATCGCTTCTTGGTTGCAAGATGTTTGAGTTGCAGGCTGTACATCCCCAAACACTTGTTCATGGTAGAAACACTAATGGTGGCACCATGGGTAGACCTGGCACATCTGGATACCCTTCCAATAAAATCCTCATCGCTCCACGTGCATGTGGCGATGGGGGATAAACAACAACGGTTGTTTTGGCCTAGTTCCAGCATTGCTAGCCCAATCTCTGCTAACATGTGCGTTTTGGGACGCACACGAAATAGTCGTTTGTTCTGACCAAACGAGATTGAAGCCAGCTGAAGGTAGCCCTCCTTAGATTGGCAAAAAATGACATGCATGGATAAGTTTCTATTGTGTCATATGAAACGCAATCAAATGCATAAAAGATTCGCATACGAGAAACGCTGCTTTACCTCCCCTCACAGCTTCTTGTGGCGGCAGAAAAATCCCATGGCCATAAAGGACATCAAATAGCTCATTCGCCTTCTGGATGGTGTACTTCATGATTATCATCTCTGCATCACAATCCTAAGCTATCCATATATATATATATATTATATATATATAACACGTACTTTGTATTTTAAAGTTTCATAGGGATATCTCAAACCGAGCTATATAGATTTATAATGCCTTTGAGATGCGAAGGATTCCAAAGCTGATTGTAGCCAGCGACACACAACCCCGGTATCATGGCCCTTTCCAGCTATTGAAGTTGGAAAGTCATTCATCCTTGGCGCACTGGTTGGGAGCATGGAATAAGTAGGAAAACAAATTTATAATACTATTCTTTTCAAAGTAGGGAAACTGCTAATGTCATAAGGCTAGTAACGAAGACATCCCAAGAGCCACTTTCGACCACTCTTCACACGCAGTGTAGCGATGGGTGTTGTGACAAAAGGATTGGAAGTCAGAATATGCAGCCAATAACCGGTCATCAAAAGAGGTATGGAGGCCAAACTTTCCTTTCATGCAAAGCCAAACTATCATGCTAGCACACATGTCAGCTCCAAAGCCAATGTGGAACGTGTGGACGAGGTCAGGTTTGATTCTTTGGGGATCATCAGCTCCAGGAACAACTCCCTCAAACGGGTTCCCACAAGCTTTGATAGGGTTTGGGCCAGGCCGACATCCTTTCCAGGGAGCTGCATCATCCATCCGGTACCATTCCTTCATGGTTTTTATAAATGAAAATTCCCAAAGAAATATTTCTAGCTACCGCCACAACCCAACCCTGGTTTACCCTCTCCTGGCCACTGCATAAGTGACAAATCCTCAAGCTTGTAAACCCCGTGCTGAGTGACCAAGCCTGAGATCAACACAGCTTTGCAGGGTGTGATTTATATAGCTAGCTGTAAAAACAATACAAATGCTGAACAGCCAGATTGTGCAACTTGGATACTTTGCGTAGGTAGGGCCAATCCCCCTTTGAAGCGATCCAGATCATTTTGAAAGTTTTTCCATTCACCTACCAGGGTTCGAAAGATAAATGTATGTATGTATGGCGTGTATGTGGAAGGGATGTTGTTAACCAACACACACACATACACACACACATTCACGCCCACCTGGAAACCATCATGGTATAAGGATCCCATTTCCTGGGCCCACGCTTTGTTGATATCCCTGAGGGTCCTCTCTCCATCGTAGAGTTTCGATGAAATGCAGGAGTGCAGGATCCGTGAGCAAAAGCTATGCCTTAGTAACTGCTAACCCGATTTCTTGAACTTAAGGATCATATGAATCAATTATATACATAAAGGGACTCATTTTCTGGTGGCTGCCCTGGTATGCAAAATTTACTATAAAGGACGAGTATCCCTGACATGTTGGTGTCTCCAGGGCCGTTCACAGATAAGACAGTCTGCCAACTTTGCACCATAAAGGGTTGAGATCGTAGTCCCCTACCCTCATCCCCATGCGTCATGTAGGGGATACTATGGCTGGGGTCAAAATCATGAGACTCGAAAATCGGATGGGTTGGATCGTCATGATAGAAGGCTTCCCAAAACCACCTCAAGAGTTTTTTCCACTGATCCTCCTGATCTAGGTCAAAGCCACCCAATATGAGTTTTGGGTATCTCGCCATCAAGATTTCACACCAGCTTCTCATCGATAGAACAGGCCAGAAAACAGGAATAACCCTAGACCTTGGCTTTCGAAGTCGAATAGTTGTGGGGACAACTGTAATCTCAACGGGCACTGTGGCATCAGCGCCCCGAATCACCCGTCTCAGGTTTCTGGTGACGTTGGTCACTGAGCTCTTGGTGGAAGCAATTTTGCACAACAAGCTGCCAGCTCCTGGGCAGTTGAGTGGGTCAACTTAAAAGGGTCATATATGGGATTATATATATGTATACAATGGGGATGTCTCATAATGAGGTGTCCGTTTTTCACCTTATAAAGATATATCTTATATAGTATTTATATATATATATAGATCCATGCCCGTGGATGCATCTAAGTTTCGTTGGGACTCGGACTTGCTGCAAATCAGCTCGGCAATCCGTGCAGTTTTTTTCGCAGTCTCAGCCTGAAAAGTGTTGGCGGCATCCCGGGTCAATGTAAACCCAATTGGACCATGGTAGAACCAAGAAACCCCACAAAAATAGGATTCCAATAGCTCCATAGCATCCTCTGTGTCTTTGAGGAACTGCAGATCTGACTGACGGGGTCCTGCAAATTTTGTTGGGCACACCCCCAAAAATGACAGTGTCACCTAATGCGCTACAACAACACATGGCTGCTCTTCCAGTCATCGACCCCCACAAGACTCTGGAACTCGCACCTGGCATATTGTGAATGACGGTAACGTATTTTGTTTGTTTTGTCCCAAGTGCTGAACCTATCATATGCAGTTGCATAGCTCCTTTTTTTTGGCCATAGCTGCTGAATGGGTAGCATCCATCATCCATCTCAATTTGATCGCTAAAGATTTCAAACCCCGCTGGCACGCATGTAGGTCACACGTGCCGAAGCCCCACATGATCATATTTCAATGATCAACATGTGAAAAAGCATCCTATCATTTCTTGGCTTTCTTAGGAACACTAGACTCTGCCCCCCGTTTGGGCGCAGCCCGCTTCTTGGCCAAAGCTTTGGGCTCAGGCTCATGCGGCGCAGCCATCGACTTCGCCTTTGCCTTTGGTGCGCTCTTCGCCTTTGGCGCTGGCTTCAATGCCCTGCGGGTGACGTGGCTCAAATTTGACAAGCCTTGGGGACATCGTATGAGAAGGGCTGGCTATAATGATATGGGCATATGGCTTAATTATTAGTCTTGGGGACATCATATATGATAATGGCTGGCCATCATGATATGGGCATGGCATGGCATGGCTTTAGCACATGATTCAGATTACCAGTCATGATATTATAGGCCTGGCTCGGCTCATGATGTGATTCAAGCTCACATCCTTCTTCTGGCACGCCACGTAGAGATCGCGTAGGTTTTCCTTCTGACCAACCTCACATTTACGCAGTGAATTGGGAACAAATGATCCTTTTTAAAAGTTGGCCAAGGGGCAGAAGGAGCTAGCACCGTGCAATGATCCTGCTCGAACTTCATCAGCTTATCATATGTGGCCTTGTAGTCATTGCGAGCAGTGTCCAGCATGCCCGCAAACCTTGGAATGTTGACTGTTGGCAGTAATTAATATGTGGTAGCCCTTGGTTGACAACTGATCATACAATATACACAATTCTTCAGAAATTTAACTACCGGCCACTTAAATTAGAAGCCAGGAAACTGTGAGGCACGGGGAGTTCCATAATTGGCGATCCTCTCCTGTAATGGCACAAGATGGTGGGTTTGAAAATTGGAAGGGTGGGGGGCCCACATAATCCCACATGATATGGTGGAAACCTCTCTCCTTCAGTTCATCCACTTTGTCCAATTTCTTTCCCATGCCGTCGATGTACTGCGCAATATAGCCTTGGACAGGCATTTAGATATGGGACTATCCCAAATAATATGAATTATTTTGAACAAACTATAGATTGATCAAAGAAACAGAAAGGGTCTTGATTCTGCTGGACCATGGGAAGGTTCTGCTGTTTGGTTGCCGCTGCGTTCTGTGCTGTGATCTGGTTGGCACTTGAGGCTGACTCAGAACCACGCCTTGGAGTGTGCACATGCGCAATTATCATCAAGTCGAGATGGATATGATATGTACGTACATATTATATACACGCATGTGTATCATGTATGCGTGTGTTCGGGTGATAAGTCTTAAGTGCTTCCAAATGTCATCATGGTCCCCTCTGCAGAGACGGAGTTCATGTCCAGCAGGGTTCCATCTGGATCTTCCATCTCAAAGCTGGCTGATTTCTGAGACGACTTGGTGTTGGTTTCGGCAAAGGCGTAAGATTCACTGGTCGGGACCCTGAATTCATCAGCCTTGTGTACCTCATTCTTGCGCACCAAGCCACGAGCAGCTGCCCATTCTTGGGCATTAGAAATCATCTCCCTTAGATGCACTTTTAACCACGACGTTTGCTATTGTAAAGATGTACATGTCACTCTGCATATAACATCAACATCACATACCAACACATACCATGCATACATATATCAGATAAAGCTCTCTGTCCACCCCAGGCTGGCCAAAGAAATCTTCGTGTGCCAACCACCCTCAAGTTTAAGCTCCTCCGCCTTCTTCCAGATCTCCTTCACACGAACTTCCAGTGCACCAAAGCTCCCCTCCTTCTTGAGGATCTCGGCCAACTGGTCTCCTTGATAGGTGTCAAGCTAAGGTGAGATGCTAGCCCCCACAAATAGCACCCAAAGCTGACGAGAGTCGTTTGGTCTTGTCATTGAACATCGCAAGGGCCTCCTTGCTGGCTGCGCTCCTTCCATTGCGAGGTTTGAAGTATCGGTACATCCTCAGTAGGCAGGGATGGAAATGGTTATATATAAAGGTATCAGTTTCGGGATCACCCTATATATTGTTAAGAATCTTTCTTTCCCCCTCTGTAAGCATTTCCGAAATTAATGATGATCTAGTCCAAGGGTCCGCCAGTACATGCCATCTTCATACACACTTGCTTTCTGGTTCTGGTCAACTGGTGGGGTTGGAACCTGGTTGTTGCCCCTTGCTACTGGTGGGTTTCTTTGCTCTTGCAAATCTTCCTCAGGGTTCTCAGGGGCACCTGCTTCACTTGCGTCATACCGTGGACTTTCCCAACCATCAGCAGATGGAAACTTGTTACCAGCTTCTGAGTTGTGGCCATCCCCAACACCATCATGCTGGGGAGAACCAAAGTATAGTGTCTCCTCTCCACCCCGCCCACCCTGGTATTGAGCACGGCGTTCGGTAGCTGTTGGGGAGGCGAGGTCGTGTACTGACTCATGTTCAACTGGTTTTGGCTTGGGCGCTGACTTCGCAGCTGTCGGTACTTCTTTTGCGGCTGGGGCTGCTTTGGCGACCTGGGGAGGTTCACCAGGCATGAAGGTAGCACCATCACCACGCCGCACAGGTTGCTGAAAAAGGTCACCTTAGATGGCAATGGTTGACAATGTTGACGTAGTAAAATTTGTCTCTAAAAATCTCTAAACTATTAATGTATTATACATGCATATATATATATATATGTGTATCATATCATATATATATATACATACATACATACATACATACATACATACATACATACACATATATATATATATATATATTATGTGCCTGGTTGGGGTTTGAAACAATTGATATCATGTGAAGCCATGTCACGACCCCCTTGGTAAGGCGAACCTCCAACTGCGAGCCCCAACTCTGCCTGCAATGACTTCACCGCTGCTTCAGCATCCTGGGCTGCAAGATCGTGTGAAGAAAACGGTTGAATATCAGTGGCAATTTTTGGTTAATTGGTGCAATGTAGTATTAACGATTGATTTTGGTGTATCCCCCCATGCATCCAAGATACTCTGATCATATCATCAATGTTCGACGTAGGGGAAATCTGCGAGGAAAGGGCACCCATACCTGCCTCCAAGCTCTGACGTGACACCTTTTCTGTAACCGACGACATGGCAACCTTTTTGGGAAGCACAGAGTCTATATGTGCTCGAAGAGCCAGCTTGCTAAGTAGCAGTGGACCTATGAATGCACGTGTACGTGCATAATATGATTGTTTCCATTGTTCAGCCATAATGATGGGCAACCACCTTTTTCAAGCAGGCGCCAATAGCATTTGTTGCAACATCTTCTGAATTTACAGCTGCCCACACGCAAATGGCACTGGTGACTCCGTTCTATGCATAGATTGGAAATACCCACTCTACGTCTTTTTGGGATTTGCGGGTTTTTGCGGGAGTTTGCGCAAAATTTGCGGGAGTTTTGCGGGTAATTCTCCTCGTTTCTTTTTGGGTTTCCACCATTCAGTGCCACTATGTGTGAAAAAAGCAGATCATCTCTGGAGGTGCTGAATTATTTCGAATTTTCTGTCCAAGGGAGACCAAGACCAAATGGGTCATCATCACGTACCTTAGAGCTACTTCACCACAAACTGGCTCAACCACAGCCAAGCACTGCTGAGGAACCTTGAAGCTACTTGCAATCTAGGGGCAGTTCGAAGATCCTTGGTAAATTGGAGCATGGTCGGGACCCACTCATCCGGGATGGCCACCTTCTTGTACTTCCACAAGTACAAATAGCATTCCTTGAGGCCAGCATCAGGCCAGGTATCCCCCATGGGAAGATTGTTGAATAACTGGAGCTCTGAAGTGTAAGGCAAATCAGCTTTCTGACGAAGGCAGGCCATGGGTCTTTTGTGCATTTTGATGTCCCTGTAGATCTTGACTAAAGATTTGCCCAGGCCCTTTGGATACTCCCTTAGTGCCAAAGCAGCCGGTACTCCCAAAGTGGTGAGGTTTGGTCATAACATGATTCAGATTTAGGCTTCTGACTGCGTGGATTTAAGGGATTTGCTTCCGCAGAAGCCTTTAGTTCCATCAGCTTTGATATATTGGCCTTGGTAGGCAGATGTAATAAAGGGTGCTTTTCATGAATTGCCCCAGAAAGTCATATTCAGAATCTTCATGTTGCAGTGCTAAGTGGGAGGCGTGTTGTTTTCACAGTCGTTTTTTTCACCCGAGTGATCTTGTCCAGCTTCCCTTTATCCTAAGCAATCCAAAGGCATTTATTTTTTGAATGTGTGGGGCTAAAATGGGCTATAAGCAAATATTTGCGACCCAGTTTTTAGACAACTCAGATAGGGGCAAGTTTGGCAATCAGCTCCCTCCGGTTTGACCAAACGCACGTCCTCTTAGGAGATTTGCTTCCATGATGAAGCATCCAAAACGAATGGCGGTAGACCTCAAGATGCCGGCTGGGAGGACTGGGAATGGAAAAGGGAAAGGTAATGCAAACCCATCATAACCCCAGGAGTAATATGGAGGGATACCTAGTCGGGATATTTCAGAAAAGGCACCATACAAATTCGATTGGTAAACCAGCTGAACCTGGGGTGGTGTGGGAACACATCCTTCGACCCCTCCGGCTGCTCCACCAAGAAAGTGCTGTGAGTTGCCAGGCATATCAAGAGCAAGACTACCAGCCTGCACAGAACACAGTATGGCCGGTATAATTGTTTGGAAATCCACATTCAGATCTTTGAAAAATTTAAAGATTATAAAAGTATATATAGCAGTTCTACCTGGCCTACTCAGCATAGTATTGGCGTCTCTCACCCAGCTGCTGCTCAAATCACCAAATACATTTATGAATGTACGCCAAGATGTACCACGGGAAATTCTTGTCCATGACGAACATACCGGTGCAAAAAGTTGTAGTGCTGCAACTGAACTGCCATCATAATAGCCAACCTCATTTTTGTTCATTCGATTGATGAGAAGTACATACCATGTACCGATAAAGAAGACATGGCCAAGAGAAATTTCTTTCATTCATGCAGGCAGGTTGCACAAAGCCACCAGGCGATAAAAAATTCATCGCTGGACAATCTCGAATTTCGTAAGATCCCACCTGGTGCATGGGGGAAGACCGGAATGCATTGCTAACATGTCCTGTCCCTGAGAAGTACTCCAGCATAGTGAACTGTTGGTCAAGATTGACCCCTTCAGTGAAGCTCAAGAGCAGGATGATGCCCAGTAGGACCTGGGCAGATATAATATATATATATATATTATAATATATATATATTATAATATATATATATTATAATATATATATGTAATTACATATATACATCATTGTAGTCCATGCAGTATGGTGGCTGATCCTTGTCATTAATATTATAAAGATAAGTCCCAGGCTTTTGGTCCACCCATCTGGGCCAAATTTCGAAGTAGGCTTTCACGTCTAGGAACCCCCATCAGTACAGCTGATGCCCGCAGGATTTGAATCCAACTGGCCTACCACCTTCGAACTTCAAATTGGCTACGAAGTGAAGGCGGGCAGTGTCCGGCTGCTACATGTTTTTGACATACACCACCCATCCAAACACCCAACCACGCAATGGCGCCAAAATAATGGAGCCGGGTAGACATGAAGATGCAGCTCTAGATACAGTTCGATCGAAAGCTTTGACCATTGACCTGCGTGGGAGGGCAAAGACAAAAACATAATTGTGCATATGCTAGCCAATGCTCACACACACATTTTGCCCAATCTATTGGCACGGGACGGTGATTTGAAAGGTTTTTATTCGCACATCCAGGATCACGAGGCACCTCTCAACTAACTAGGATCTACTCCAGCACAGCTAGGGCATCCCCATATTGGCTGCCTCTGTATGGGCTGCTGGCACATACCTATGGCAGTTGAACCCAAAGCCCCTAGCTAAACGGCCATCCCAGAAGTCATCAACCCGGACTGCATTCATAGATCTCGGTCACATGTAGATCAAGTTCACGATGTTTCTGCGTATGCCTAAGTGAGTGTTGGTGGATGTGTTGAAAGGGAAGTATGGGTTTAAGCTTGCATCTGTATAGTTGTGGGAAAAACCTGCTAATCAAACTAACTCAGCTAAAATACTTTCTTGGCAGCAGCCTTGCACTCATCCACCGTCAGGCCATTCTGCTGTGCCATCTTGAATGCCCGGTGGTAAGCTGCTGACTTGCGGGAATATGCCTTTTTTTGTTCTGCCTTGCGACTGTCTGCGGCTGACCCACTAGATGGGGTTGCACCTGTGGTTGCTTTCTTTTTTTCCTTGCGTGCTGCTGCCTTGCTTTTCGCTTTTGGGCCAGCATTCTTGCTCTTAGCCTTGGGCTTTGCAGGACCTTTCTTGGCACGGGTGGGTTTGTCTTGTCCCTCTTCGACCTTTCGATCCTTGGGTTTCCTTCCCCTTTTTTTGGGGGGGCATTGGACGTCTGGGGCAATTGTTGTATTGCTGTCCCAAGTTTCAGGCTGCCCTTCATCCTCCTTCCTTGCCTGTGCGGTCTGTCTGCGTTTTTCCCTACGTGTGAGGGCAACTTCAGTCATTGCACCTTTCGCTTTGTTGGATGAGTTGGTCCCAACAATTGGTACCTGGACCAATCCAGTGGGAACAGAACCGAACTCATGGGTTTTCTCCATGAGCTGGCCAACTGACATGCTGCGTTTAAAAGAACCTTTGTGACCAGTGCTTTGCTGAGCTTTTGCACGGATGCTTTGCTTCTCTTTTTGTACCTGCTTGTCCTCAACCTCTTCAGTGGGCTGCTCAACAACTTGTCCCTGTTCTGATTTCACCTCCTCACCTGAGACTTTTGGGGCCGGTGTGTCCAAAACGGTTTCGGCAGGAGATGCTTCTGGTTCAGTCGGTGTCACGGCTTCACCCTGATCCCCACTCCCTCCCACATCCTCCTCCACATCAGCAGGAATCGCAGTTCCCAGTAGTCCACCCGTTTCGAAGTCAGGCATAGGCAAAGTGTCCACGTTGTCCATGTTGTTACCTGAGATGGTGGTGGCTGGTCCAAGTGTACGTATATGTGAATTTGTCAAAAATGGGGGAGAACATTTTTCAATTAAAAACCTAGGCTTCCATATATGTAACATAGCATTTGGTATGGTTATATGATGTATATGTCACCAAACGTAATGTGCTACCTTGGTTCCCTGGGTCCTCTATAAGGTAGGTTTGGGTTATTGAAGACAGAAATAAAACAAAAATAGAGTTGATACTGCAACGCTGTTGCCTTTTGTTTTCCTGGGTTTTCCATGTGTTTCCTTTTTTTTCCCTAATTTTTCTTAAAGATTGCACGCCAAGTATCACGGTGGTATCACGGTGGAACACAATGGAGTACCACAAACTTTGTCAGAAAAAAACATGTTTTTTTTCTCTCTTCACGTTTTGCATATCGCAAAGGACAACGCATTCCAAACGATGGTTTACGTAAAACAAAACTCCAGAAATTATAGTTAATTCAATAATACATGATATATTTTTCTTTTAATTTTTATATGTTTATATAATTTTATTATATTTTATTGATATGCTTTCCTCCTGGCAAGAGCAAAAGAGAGGACATATGTCAAAGTTTTGTGTCAATTGTCACAAGTAAGCACAAGTGAACATGTGTCTGTATACCCTGGCCTCGAAACATTGCCATCCAACCTCAGGTGAAGCAAGTGGAGTTGGAATTAAGATTTATCTAAGATTTTGCATATTCTCGTAGCATTTACAAACACAAGTATCAAACAAATTCCTGAGTTTCGCCTGCAGGGACAACTGTTTTTACCCAAGAACCCTATGATGAGATCAAACACATGATGCTTGACATGTGTTGAAAATCTAATTTGCAGTGGTTGCCAAAGATTGGGGAGACTTGCGCTGGTTCATTTGCTCTGTTCATGGGGGTAGATTTGCACTGGTGATACAATATGCAAACAGGCTACCGATCTGTTTCATTTGCTCAGCCTCCTGTGCAGCCTTGATCCTCTGATAGTCTTTCAACTGGGATAACCGCAGCAACAACCCCTGAAGAGCTTCAAGTTTCTTGATGCGATCGTTTTGGTGGACAACATCCGCTGCCACAACCATCGGGCCCTCTGGGGCACCACCTTAGCTTACATCGATATAATGATATGACCTATATATAAGGTGGTGGTGATAAGCAAGTATAGGAACTATACAGAAAATACATCCAGGGCCCCCACCTCCCTCGACCTGGCCAGATCCAGCTGGAGCGATCACTGCGTTGGAGTCAGCAGGTACCTCTACGGCATCGTTCAGCGCGTGGGCTGCATCCAGAACCTTGGCTAGGAATGTCACCGCTCAACAGGTGCCAAGGGAGAATCTGAATATATAAAAAAAAAAACGATAGGTCCCCAAAGCGTGTGTTTGGGGACCTATCATTTTTGGTGTTTTTATTTAATTATTTATCCCATGCATATATATATATATATATAGATATGATATAATCTGAAGTTGTATGATTATAATATATATATAATATATTTTTGGTATCGATCCTATGATAGTATATGTTCCATCATACGATCACCACATATAATTGAACCAAGAAACTTGCTGATCAACATCTACATGTTCCGGCATCTTTTCGTCCTTGGACGCACACATGACCAATGGGCCAATAGTGTTACACTGCAGTGGTTGGGGTGGAATGGGGCTTGTAAGTGTACTGGATGAAATGGACAATTAATTCATCAAAGGTTCATCACCACCACTAGCCATTTGATCTTCCATTGTAGCATCAGCCAGTTCATCACCCGCGGCATCAGCCAGTTCAACACCTAAGCAGGTCCGATTAATTACAGTTTATGGCATGGTGCCTGAAAGTGAGAAGAAACACAAATAGGAATCCAACACATAGGGCCCTATATATGATTGCAGATTAAATCCACTTTTGCATGTGGGGCGCATTCATCATGTTCTTCAAGTTCTTCCTCACCCTGTTCCTCTTGTTCTTCCTCTCCCTGCTCCAAGTCATCACTGGAGGAGGGCCCATAGAGAGTTAAGTCAACCCCGGTTTGGGCCATCAACATTCGAATGGCAGACTCCCTTGGCAAATGGGGTCGTCTGCAAATGTCGTTGTAAAGAGTCATGCACTTTTTCAGGACCCAGGCTTGCATGTGAACAGTCCCACCTTAGATCCAAGGGTAGTCGGTGCGAAGGGTAGTAGGTTGTATAAGTGTTATATATACTATATATATATACACATATAATATATATAATATATATATATATAAAGATATATAATAATCATTGCATATTATAGGGCTCCTTTGCAAGTAACCTTCTTCTAATAGGTGTAAACACCGCAATAAAAACAGCTAAAAGATGGCATCCCAAGTGTTTTCTAAGTCCAACCAAGTTACTTTGAATGGGGATCTCCATGTAGTCATACAATGCGGTCAAATGCAAATGTAAAACATCAACGCTCACCCTACTCCCGACACGGTTGATGGCAAGCTCCATCACTTTTGCATTGTTGACTACTGCGTCCCTGGTGATGACGTTGCCTTCCACAATAACCTAGGATGCGCTAGAGTTTCGGGGTGATATACCTCAAAAACATTTAAAGGACTGAAATTGAGAAAATATAGTTCAATCTAGGTAGCGGCTTTCAACTCGCGAGCTTGCTGGCGAATCTCTTCGTCCCTTTCCAAATCGCCGGCCAGAAGGGTGGCAGGCTCTTTCTTAGGCATGGTTCCCTCTTTGAAACCAAAAAAGCACACTGGGCCAAAACGGCTATATTATATAATTATCCTGGAGATTCGAAATGTTAAAATTTTAGGGTGTTTCTCATTGTTTAACTGTCTGAAATTGTTGGCATTTGAACCCTTTGAACTTCCATCACTAACCCCAAGCAACCCCTTGCAGGGCTGGAAGCGCACCCAGATGATACCAAGAATCAGAGGTAGATCTAGAAGACAAAGGCCTGTTCACCCAAGCCTGAGCCGGTGGATGTTGACTGGCTCATTGGAAAGCGTTGGCTTTCCTATTTCCTTGACTGTTCAAGCTAGTGGTTAATTATGGCTAGCTGCTATCTATATAGATCTATGTGGGGTGCAATTTCTACTTCTTGTAAGTTAGCTATGTGAGTAAGTGCAAGTAAGAAACTGATCGCTCACCATTGCCGCCAAAGAAGTGCGCACCATATTTCCTTCGCTGCCGGTGCCCAAGGTTGAGATTGGAATTTAAGGTTATAACCTTTAAGTTGAGTTTCCATCAAGATAATACACATATATATGTTAATCTGAATATATATTGATATATGTCTGTATACCTGGAGATTCGAAATCGTGGAAATTTTAGTGGTTCTCGTTGTTTAGCTGCTTTTGTCTGAAGTATGTTAAATATAGGCCATACAAGCCAATCATTATTATATTCAAAATTCCCACATCTCACCCATTGAATTCAGCTCAGCATCGGCTGCCACACCCCACAGCCAAGTACTCGCCAGTTTGAGCCCAGGAGTGGAAAGTGGCGAAGATTGGCGACAACCACCGCTGCGCACACTTCAACCCTCAAGCCCCTTAAGATTACAATCTTGAATGAAATATTGGGAAATCCAGGAGTTCCAGTAGTTTCAGGAGTTGCGGGGTCAAAAGCCAACGATTTCAGACAAAAGCAGTTAAACAACGAGAACCACTTATAATTTCCAGGATTTCGAATCTCCAGGAGTGATTATTATTCCCAATATATGGAAAAATAAAATTAATTTTCCAAACCACCAACCAGATTTAAGGGATATTTTCACCCACCAACCCAGTAAGACATTCCAAAATCGCATTTTTTGGCCGTTGGGAATGATTCCCCGAAGAAGTTATCATTGGTGAGGTCGGGCAAGGAGGTCAATCAGTACATGATCAAGGATCATTTCGGGTACCTAAAATGGAGGGACTGTACCATATCAAGCCATACTTTGGTGATATATCACCTTACATAGACCCTGCATATGGTATGTACCTCCGTAGATACCTCAAATGGCCAGTGATACCGGGTCCTTCAAAAAAAACAACCATCCTCCTACATGTTGTCACATCACACCTGATCCCCCCGCGCCCCCTTGATCAATGTTGCTGCCCAATGCATGCCGGCATCCGAACCGAAATGGCTTTTATTTTGAAGGCCTTTCCAAGCAAAGCGACGTAACAACATTGAATTGGGGGAAAGGGGGCACGCAAGTTTCTTCGCAATGAGTGTGACAGGATGGTTGTTTTTTCAAAGAACCCGGTATCATATCCCAATAAAAAAGGCCCATTATCCCACTACATCCAATAATGTCCTTTTGGTAAAAAAATAGAGGGGCCGGTTTGATATAACATCTATCATCATTTACAAACCCCTCGATTAATCAACAAACCAATGGGAAAAGGACATCTATGACTACATCCCCAAAATCGATTCAGGGTTTGGTAAATGTCCTCATTTTTCCCACCGAACCGTTGGGGATTTTTCACCTCCAACGGATATGTTGTTCAAGTGATGTTCAAACTCCCCTCAACAGAACATTTACCAACCTCACACAATGGGGCCTCCTTACTTATGATGTGGTTTATAACATTTTATAACACCATTGAACTAATTCAAACCCAACAATAAAGCAAATAGTTATTGTAGTGAACTGTTCACCAACAAACAACTATCGTTTACAGGGGGGGGGGGGACCTTGTGGCTTGATATCCTCCCATTCATATCCCATGAAATGCCAATTTTTTGATGGTTAACCCCATATCTAATTAAATGGCATATGTATATAGACATCATCTCATGGTACCACCTTGATCTTCATCATAGTTCATCAAATTCCATGGACATCCCATTAAAACATTAAGTCACCATGAATTCCTATTTAAATTCATTAAATCACCATTAAGTGCGATATAAAATCATCCATTATTAATTCCACTTGTAGGCAATATTTTAGTCATGATCATATTCCAAGCTACAATAATTATATATTCCATTACCCTATTATGGTGATATTTCATGAAAAATCACAATGAACAATCCCATTAAATTCCAAGAAATTCCGATGACATCCCATTAAATCGCCACATTTCACATCGCTTGGCAAACACTAGCGCCCTGCGCCTGATGTTCATCATCGCCAGGTTTGGTGATGCCAAAACTCCTCCAATCAGAAGGCCTGCAGCATGGCACCAGCCCCGTTGGGACAGGACACCTAAAATTCGGTTGGTTGCTTCAATCAATAAACAAAAACGGATTTGAATAGATCAGCAAATGGGATTTAAGAACAATTTCATGGGATTTAATTTATTTAATGGCAATTTAATTGAGTTCTTCATGGAATGTCTATGGGATTTACCCTTCGGATCCCTCAAATGTGGCTGGCTGCCGTTGCTGCGGATGAGTGAACCCATCAAACCAACCGCCGTAGCGTTGCAGTATTTCCCTTTAATACATGGGTTACAGTTACCCTTTGGTTATTCAACATAGCCATGGAAAATGACCAATTGTTTGATGGTTTACCTATTAAAAATGGAGATTTTCCATGGCTATGTATGTTGAATAACCAGATGGTATGTGGGAATAACAATTAGTAAAGGGACATAGGATAATTAATCCATAAATAATGGATATTTAATATGTATGTCCCATTACTGTTATTTGGAAATATCACGTGGATAATAATTTGGACTATAGATATTTCCCCAAACTATGATATCATTGTAATCCAACAATGATCATTATATTTCCCATATCATGTGGATATTAGTTATACGTATGATTATAGGCCATTGTAATCCACCATAGTACTGCAAATAATGATATCATCCCACTGTAATAATTTGGATAGGCTAATTACAGGTATGGCCCATATGGCCATTGAAAGTTGTGAGCATGGGATGAAATAACTCCTGCAACTAAGGTATGGCAACAAATATGTGTAAATCCCCGAAGAAAAATGGTGTCTGGGGGTGTTTAGGATCAAGGGATGGGATTACACTTGTTTGCTTGATCATATTATAAATGTGTTGTACAATCAATAATCAATATGACTAACTGGGCCTGGTTGCGATATACTATTAAATGAATGGTATAATAAGTTGGGATTATACCATCATTCAAACTTTGAATGACTAACAATCATTGACCAGCATTATATTGAACAGTTCACAAGACTAACCATCATCTTGGACCAATCTTGGATTCCTTAAAAAGGGGCTCCAAAGAAATAACACATCTTACCTTTAGAGGTTTCAAATCATAGATTTTCTTGGTTGGTTTATAAGTCCAATAACTAGGATTGATTAGGGGGTTATATCTATAGAATCTATAGTTAATAGGGATTATAAACCAACAAACATAACTGGGGGGCACCACCTTGTAGCCAGCCAGGTTTGATTTCCCTTTATACCATCGGTCCGTTGGAGCAGTCCGTCGCCCTGTCATCAGAATCCCATGGCCTAAGACCAAGAGAAGCGCAACGATCCAAGCACCGAGATCGATGCCTGCGACGAGTTTGGGATCGAAGGGGATCGAAGGGGTCGGGGGAAATTAGGGAAATACCTAAAAATACCATCTGGTTATTCAACATAGCCATGGAAAATCCCTTATAAATGGAGGTTGCTATGGGAAAATCATCTATAAATGGGCCATTTTCCATGGCTATGTTAAATAACAAGAGGGAAATATATATATTAATATACACATATACATACCTGCTACTCTGGTAGCACACTCAGTAGTGTCCATATCCTGAAAGATAAGTAATTCAGGTAATGGGGCTATAATATGCTATAATTATTGTCCTGAATGCAAACTACCGTTCCAAGCATTTTGGGCACCTTGTAGGTGATGGTTTGTTCCATATACCATTGTTGTTAATACATCTCGGCTATATACGATGATACAACAATGATATATACAATATCGTTTGCCCACCAACATCTATATAGGCAAAATGTTTTATCTGAGCTTCTTAAGCACGAGCGTGGGAGATCTAAATGTCTGGACACCCCCTTCAAAATTGCTATGTATAGCTGAACACCAAAGAACATAGGATGTTTGTGATCCATAAAAATATCAAAAAATATCAATTTCCCATCAATTTCCAAAATAGAAAAAAAACAACTCCAATGCAATTTGTTCACCAAATATATATATATATATATATATGGGTTCCACACATGGACGTAAAAACAGGTTCCAGGGGCGTTAAAACCCGTAAACCGTTCAGATTACGTTCAGATTACGCTCAAATTTCGTTCAATTGCGTTCAATTTCGTTCCACTTGCGCAATTTACATAATAAAAAGTGCGCAAAAAATGTTTTAGGAGCCCATATTTGGTTCGCGTGCCGCCTCAAAACGAAGAGGAGAAAACACTAGATTCACACAAATTATCAACAACTAGTACAAAACTTCTGTCAACTATTTTTGCCAAATTTAAATGGTCATTATATATATATATGTACCTGGATCCTCCAAATACCCCTGCAACCAACTGGTATAAGTAGTAACAGACTGGGGTAACTGGGAACACACTATTTTTATGGGTACTTGGAGGGTATGTTGAAATTAAGAAACACAAGTTGATCGATTTATCTATATGTTTAAACGAAATGTGTGCCTGAAGCACAAGGCCACCAATCATTGGCTGTGGTTGGCAAGAAACAAATGCAAGAAACGGAGTTGTTTTTTCCATCTGAGGTAGGAGTTACGGTGCATTTCTGCAAAGCAAGCTGCGGGTGTATCTATGGGAAAATCCCCTAGCGTTATTGTTGGTTAAGGGGAGCTGTTCATGATGGATAATGATAATCCAACATCTCAAAAATAGATCAAACATGATCATTTTTTTCTCTCACCTCTGCACCTTTCAGGCAAGCATTTCGAAGTCGATAAATCTGTTCATTCACAACCAACTGGCATCTTTGAACCTACGGTGCATTGCACCAAAACTACCATGGCATGGCCTCGTAGAGTGCTGATGAGCTGACTGAAGCGTTCCACTGGCACACCTTGTGGTAACTGACCTAAGTGACCCCCCCAACCCCAGGCGGGGAAGCAGATCATCTTCTGATGAAGATTGGAGTCAATACCACCATGGGATGGTTTCATATTCCATGATCTGAACCGATTTGCTGCAGAATTTCTGGTATGTCATTGCGGATGGTCTAGGGTTGTAGGTTTACCACCCTAAAATACACTCATCTACATTCATCAGAACCATCTAGAACCATCTAAAACCATCGAAAATCTAAAACATTCCTAAAACAACTCAATTTTGGGAGTTACACCCCTTGATCATTTTTGATCATCTTTGATCCCAGCCACGCGTCAGAAACTCCTGGTAGTCGCTTTGCGTCATCCACGGACTGCCCAAGGTTGCACTGATGATGCCAAAGAATGTGCCAACGAAGAGGTACGAGAAGCGCCAGGAGAGATAGGGGCCTGGTGTGAAAAACGCCGGGATGTTGAGGATGATGCCAGGTGAAAGACCCATATGGATTTCTTTTAACGCAGTATTTTTGTTCAAATCAAATTGTAGGAAAGAATTTGCAGGGCACTGGGTGGAGCGGGGCTTGGGGGGGGTTTCCCACCTAGCTACATTGAACAGATATTTCTGATTAAATAGCCTTGCAAAAGTTCACTGAATCTTCTACCGGAACACATTTCAAGACCCCATGTAGTTTGGTTCAACCACAACCTCTGCTATTGCAATGTAAGTTTGTTTTATGACAAGCAATGGCCAATACAGGACAGACCCATGCAATTGAGCACTAGCAAATCCTTAGCCTTCGCTTGGGCACTTCTTGTCCTTGGGGGGCTACTTCAACAGCATGTACCTGTGAAAATCAACATGTATGAAACCGTATGTACAACCTGATCTCAGTAGCCACCTGTTTCTTTCGCAATGTTGCCTTGAATTCCTGCGACGAGAACCAGGCCAGTAGCATGCGAAACGCCCTTTGCCATATTTCACAGTCGACCCCGCGCTGGGCACGCCGCGGAGAAGGCTAACGCAGGCAGCACCTAGAGCATTAGCGGCAGTTGCCTTCGTCAAGATGGCAACTCACCACGGGCGTTCGAATCCTTGCCTTCATGGGGAAAGCTCTCAACTTGGGGAAGCTTGCCGTCAAGGCACGCCCGAGCCACTGGGAGCAGCAAGCTGCAGCAATGCCCTCTCATTCAACCCTCATGCTCAGTCCTGTAGCTGTTTCAAGCACGGCTTGCAGAACACTACCAATTCCATTTTCATTTGCTAATCCTGCTAAGCGGGAAATTAAAACAGGCCAGCCCTAGAAAGGCAGAGGCCACAGCAAAGAGCAAACAGGAGCAGCGGCTTGGGTGCCAAAGCTTTGCACAACGCTGGTTGAAAAAGAGCATTGCTACGATGGACCTTGAACTTTGCATGTCTCAAACGGGAACAGAACAGGGACCAGAGTCTGTTTCTGCATTGCTTCCATATATGCCTGGCAGACGCGTTGATGCAAGAAGCAGAACCGGATGGAATGAAGGAAAACCCCGTGACCTCAAGCCTTTTAGGCTTGCATTAGTGCCGATGTAGTAGAAGTAGTATTCAAGATTGCTTCATGCCGCCATCCAGTCTTTTGGGGTTTTCAAGCAAGTCCTTGCTGCGGGCCCTTCAGCTGAGACTTGGGAAGCATCTAGGCCCTTTCCAGAAACGAGAAAAACACTTTTTATTGCTGTTTTTTTTACCGTTTTTGCGTGTAATTTTTCATCGGGGCTTTGGGTGGAATGGTTTCATCGGGGCTTTGGGTGGAAATGGTTCGTTCGGGGCTTTGGGAGGAAGATTTGAATCTTGTACGAGTAAGGAGCTTGAACGGGGCATTCGGAGGCAGGCCGCCACTAGCCCTTTGAGCGGGGCAGTGGGTGGAGCCAAGCCATCGGGGCTGTGCGAGGTGATTTCGTACGTTTTCAAAAATGAAAATTTGCACCAAAAATTGGCGCCTGGTGCCTGCAATGGCCGGAATTTATTTCATCCTCGTCTGGGTGCAGGTGCGACTGTGAGGGAATATTTAAAAGCGTACATGCCTCTTACCAGATATACATACATACATTTTCAAAACGGCAGGGTAGGCGTCCGTCTGCTGCCGACATAGCAGGAGGCTCCGTAGAAACCTATAGGGCGGGTGTGTAGGCGCGGAAGCGGAAAGCTAGCAACAGTCAGCAGCGTTGCTGTTCCTTAATTATCCTCCATCTCATGGCCGAAATACATCTCTCCACGCTAAAGCTGATCTGCGCCTTGAATTTCGAGAATCCGGGTGTCATTGTTGAATCGAAGCGCGCTCGTCGTCACCCTGGCGCCGTTAGAAGGGAATGAAGACCTTGACGCCCTGAGCTCAGCAACAAACATACTGTATGTCGCCGCGGTTGCTGGTCTTTCTGCCAGCAAGGGAAGAAAGCTTCCACCCCGCACTGGGAAAGGAGGAAGGCTTCAGCCGGCGCCGGGAGGAGAGCCGGCGCCGGGAGGGAGACCCGGCGCCGGGAGCGAGACCCGGCGCCGGGAAAAAGAGAATCTTCCCAACCCGGCGCCGGGAAGGAGGAATCCTTTCACCGGGAGAAGAAGAATCTTTCAAAAGAAGAAATCGTCACATGCTGATGGCGAGAAACAAAGCCTTTCTCCCAGCACCTAGAAAAATAAAACTTAAAAACCTTTCAGGGCCTCACACACGGACAACCACATGATCAATGAACATAGTATACATTTATATACTGCTGAGCTTGCCGCGCTGTCTTCTGTGTCCACTTCTGTCGGGAACAATGCCAAAAACTAGCTGGTTCATAGCCGACTCGAAGACACCCGCGGACGACGATGGCCTAATGACCCCCAAACGTTGTGTCCACCATCATTTACCTTGCACCGTCCAAGGCGGCTCCTCATTCTACACATTCCAAAAATGTCTCTAAGCAGAAAAGTGAGCCTAAGGGAAGCAAGATTTGTTTTTTCCCGCCCTAATTATAAATGGGCATCTGCCATGACCACGGGACAAGTACTTTCGCACATAACGGCTATTTCTTGTTTTGTATCAGTGCTCGGGTGGAAAAAGTGTGTTTCACCACCCATAGCCCTGCTACGCTGGAAGCCCTGCTGATTTGGTTCTCTGATCAAAGACCTATACTTCAAGTCGCCATAACAATCCATGGACTGCGTTTGGAGCTCAAACATGCTCTGAATCATCCATAATCATTTGACAATTGTATGGGGAGAGATGAGGGTGAGACGTGGCTACCCCGGCTACCCCAGCTACCCCAGCTATCCATTTGTTTTTTTGGCACAGTCAAAGAGGATCGTGGCTTTGGGCGGGACGGGAAAACATAAATGCTTACCACTAGTGCAACACGCTTTCGGGGCAAAAGATTCAATATGGTTCAAACGCAAACAACTATGTGGGGAAACATCTTTGGGTTGTGTTTTAATGTAAAGCTTACGTTGCCATGTCTAGCTCCTTTTCACAACATGGCAGGATCTCGCCTAAAAAGAAACGTTAATCACACCACAAACCCCATGGCTCCAATGTGCACAAACACTGCCAACACTCGACAACGTTGGCTTAAAACACTAACATGGCCTCCGATAACACCAATGTAGCCCCCAGAGAGCAACATTCAAAATCCGACTTTCCAATCCGATGTTCAAATCCGATTTCCCGCGCCGAAAAACCATCCAGCAACCCAGAAAGTAGCTCTACTTGCGGGTTTGTTTGTCTATAGCCACTGCAAAGTTGCCAGGGACTTTGATGCCAGAAAGAATCTGACCCATCACAGGAGCCTCTATAAGTTCTTTGCGCGCAGTTTTTGACAAATTGCCTTGAACTTCCCAGTTACATAGTCAAGTAAATCAAAATCACTGTGCCTTGCAAGACCCTGCGCTCATGAGCATAATCTATGTTTCAAAGCAAATCTGTTGGTATACTTCAGTTCTTGGAAAAACACCCACCCAGTTGGTGCTGCACTGGAATAAGAAGTCAGCATTACCTATCATAAATGTGACAGTGGCACAAAAACCTGCTCAAACAAGAGTTTTGTTGGTTTTGCGTCGAAAGGGGAGGGGCATTATATACGCATTGGGTCATTAGGTCTTGCTGGCCCTTCATAGAAGGTTCCATTCCCTACCCAATATTGTAGTCAATCCTTTCTGGCTCTAGAAGTGCAGTGTACAACAGCATGACATAATGACATAATGATGTGACCAGATCAAACTTGAATATTTTGAAATAAAGCCTCTGGTAATTTAACATAGCTATGGAAAATCACCATCTATAGTAGGTAAATCACCTATAAATGGGCCATTTTCAATAGCTACGTTAAATTACCAGAGGGTAAACCCTGATCAAACATCCACTGTCTCCATGATGTTGCCGATGCTTTGGGATTATCCATGGATCGCCAACCTTTTCCGCTCCAAGCCTACCACTCCAGACGGAAAGCTCTCCTCCGCATCTTGCTTCAGTTTCCTTGGTGAATGAAATGATGTCCGTTCATACAGGATAGGGCCCCCTCAGTCCCTTAGTTATAAGTCGGTTTATAAACCATTAATTATAACATATTATAACCCGCATGAATACTATAGTTATATATATATAAATATAAATATATATATATATATGTACCTTCCATAAACCATAGAATTCAGCCACTGAAATAAGGCAACTGAAACCGAGCTCGACTGCGGGCCCCAACAACAGTATTCCATGACTCTCATGAAATCATCACATTGAAACCCGTCATTAAGGGGATAGTTGTCACAAGATCATTTTCAGCACTCCCCCATTTTACATCATTAGTATCATTAGTTAAATCATGTTATATCCCAAGAACATATGATGATTTGTTTTTTACCCCATAGCTATATAAGTTACCCTCCAGAACATTGACCGTTCGACCCTGTCAGATAGGTTTTGGAAGATTAGTTTCCACTAAAAGTGGCCTATGTTCAGGATCTATGTTAATTTACCAGAGGTATTTTCCTGTTCCCACTATGTTAATGTTCTAATGTTCCATTTCATCCCCAGGTTACTGTTCCCACTATGTTAATTTACCAGAGCTATTTCCCCGAATATGGTAATAGGTTTTGACCCATATGTTCAATGAGAGTTACCCTCTGGTTTCATAAATGGAAGTTTTTCTTTCCTGGGAGAATCATCCATAAATATGTTTGTTAGCTTTTCACTTGCCACGTTTGATTTTTTCTCGGAGGGTATATCTTACTATCGGCGTTGGCCTCTTTATTTGGGCCTTTCTGTTTTCTGGCTTTTGGACCCAGGAACTGTTTGCAGATTTCCAGGAACTATTTGCAGAGTTCCAGGAACTGTTTGAAAAAAACATGAATTTTATTGAGGGGAGTTATTGAGGGAAATATGATGATGAGTTAACAAAGGCTAGCTAAAGGGAAAACAACAACACAACACTTAAATTTAAATGCCCTCAAGTGCTGAGTCCAACTGATTTCAGCCCTACCAGTGCGTCCCCATTTTGGGTATATGGAAATGACAGTACTCATGAGTTATGGTATGGTATTTTGCGCATCCATAACATGCCAACATGTTGTCTTGCTAAACTTGGGAATCTCTTGTGTGGAAACAAGCACCCCGGGAATAAAAAATATATTTTTGATTTGATAAATCAATCGGCCAATCATATCAAGAGCCATGCATGTCAAATATACCAGAACCAAAAAAAATGGTTCAATGAGCCAATGAATAAAAAACAGCACCAGCCGGCTTTGGTGCATCATGCAGCGGAAAAGATGCAAAATGCAAAAAAAAACATTTCCAGCCTTACTGAGCCATGGAAAAGTATCAAGCCAAAAAAAAAATAATTCACCTCCGGGTCGGCCAGAAGAAAACGCGGTGATTCAAATTTCGCAGGAGCAAAAGCCACAGCACCGAGGGACAAACCTCACCACCACCACCACCACCACCAGCAGCAGCAGTTCCAGAAAGGAAAGCCCGCCCCAAAGCGTAGGCCCAAGCGCAAAAGACCACCACCCGTGCCAGAAAGGCAAGCAAACCCCAATCTGAGACCCAAAACAAACAGCATTCCGCGTCCTGGGGAATGTAGCTAGTTTTACGGTATGTCTACTGCAACTGAATGTATGTAATTTGTTTGAATTTTTATGTCATGAGTCTTGTCATGAGTCAAGTCAACTCATGTAATGTCATGTCATGTCCATCATTATATGGTTGTTTGTTTTGGTTGGCTGTGTGCAAATGATTCCAAAAGATCAGTATCAGTATAATGCAGTAATAGTTCCTGGGATTCTAAAAATAGTTTCGGGGATTCTGTAAATAGTTCCTGGGATTCTACAAATAGATCCTGGGTAGCTATGGCCCCTAACACAGAAAGAGGCCAAAGCAATAAGTAAGGTATATCCATTTATATTTCATAAACCATCTGACGAAATATCTGTATATATATACAATGTGAGGCCCCCCAGTTATAAGTTGGTTTAAAAGCCCCAGTAACTATAGTTATAAGTACCATAAACATCCATAAACCAGAGTTATTGGAATTTATAAACCAACTTAGTTATCTTGGGGGCCTCACATTATATATATATCTATCTATCTATCCCATAGCTAACTCTAAGTCTGGGCAAATTATGAGGCCCTTTTGGGATGATTCCCCGAATCAATTCACCACCTTCTTCCAGGCGCCCCCGGGCGAACAGGCTTCGGTCGTGATGAAATTTGCCCACATATATATAAAATAAAATAAAATAATATAATAAAATATAATATAGCTAATATGATATAATATATATATATGCATATATATGTATATATATCCCATAGCTGGTTATACATTATATATATACATACACATATATATATATATTCATCCATATAAATATGGGATATCCATTTGTAATGGTTATTTCAGATGGATACACTATAACCATTTATGTAAGATATACCCCATATATATATATCCATAAATATATCATACAATCATATCCATATAACCATATCCTATATATCCATATAATCATAATTATTTTTTTGTGATCCTTTTTGGGAGGCTGTTTAGTAAGGAACCCTAACTTACTGACTGTTGCAATATTAGGGAAACACACAAACTATAAGCATATATCTCCAGGCATAGCTATATAATATCACATGCTGGTTGGTGGTTTCAACCCCTCTGAAAAATATGAGTTCGTCAGTTGGGATGATGAAATTCCCAACCGAATGGAAAGTCAAACAATTCCATGGTTCCAAACCACCAACCAGCTAAAATCATCCCATTAAAATGGCCATAGAAATAGTTGATTTACCCATGAAAAATGGTGATTTACCCATTTAACCACCAACCAGATAGCTACCCTCTGGTAAACTAACATAACTATGGAAAATCACCATTTTTGATGGGAAAATCCACTATAAATGGCCATTTTCAATAGCTATGTAACAAATTACCAGAGGGTATATAAGTGATATCTCCCCGCAACATCCCAAGTTTCCGCGCAAATTGGCCGCTGGTGGCTTCCGCCGCATCGTCCCAAAGCGCGTTGCGCAGGACGCCGTAGAAGAAGCTCAACACGCCGCACATCCCGAGGGACAAAACCGGGGAAAACGCAACGGCCCGGGGTCCGAAACGTGGTGAATTCTAGTGATTTCACCTATGAAAACCTAGGGAAAATGGTGGTTTAACTCAGAAAACATGGGATTTTAGGGGGTTTGGGTTGCTGATTTATGATAGCTATGCGTTTGTTTAGTTCGCTAAACTATTGAGTAATATATATATATACATATATATATATATATATATATGTCGAAGTAGTATACGATGGGGTTATGAACCAACTGACATGACACCAGTTTGTATATGGAGTATGAATTTGGTGGCTGCTTTATCTGGATTTTCTATATGTAATTGGGGGCATCTCGATTCATGAAGCATGGAGAACGGATGAAGTTTGGTTTATTGCATTTATTCCGGTTAATGATGGAGGGTTTTTTGATGATTTCTGACGTGATCAAAAACGATATTGCTTTTGAACATCTGAAATATATGAAACTATGATATAATATTGTTCATTAATATGGTTCATGATAACCCATTCAACGACTCGTGTCGTTGTACCTTCATTTTCTGACGTACCAAACGAGGGTCACCAGTCGATCATCCTGCTTTGTCTCAGAATGGTGGATTATATCACATATAATATAACATACTGGTTGGTGGTACACCCCTCTGAACAATATGAGTCAGTTGGGATGATGAAATTCCCAACTGAATGGAAAGTCATAAAATTCCATGGTTCCAAACCACCAACCAGCATATAATATATATATATGATTTGTGATATCTCTGAGTTCAAATGGAATGATATTTCGGTTCAGTCATGTTCAGCTGTTCTCATTTGAATGCATGAATCATTCCATTTTCCAGAGATTTCCAGCGTGGTGTATCTGCAAATGTTGAGCCAGCTCCAACGGCCAGATTTGTGAGACGTTATCATTGAATATTCTGTGACACCGTACGTTTATGTTTGAGTCCTTTTAAAGTGCTCTGCTTTGAATCATTTAATTTGAAACTTCATCTCACTGGTGCTTAGTCGGGAATGGGGGAATGGGATGATTATCAATAGCTGTTATATAGATCATTCCCCCATTCCCTACTAAGCACCAGTAAGTCATTGATGTGTTTCACTTTCCTCACGTTCCTGACATTGTTCTTCACCATTTGGGCAAGTGCAAGGCCTCGTATAGTGGGGTTAAGAACTGCAACATCAGACAACCGCAGTTGTGTACACAACCTGAACATTTCCCATGTTTTCCCGTACCTTCTCAAAAATAATGAAACATCATGCTGATTATGATAGACCCAATTTACTCTCAAACATGCATTATTCTTTGAGCATCCCATCAATCAAACAGCTCCCCAGCCTGCAGGGTAACACTGCCGTATCTCGCCGTTCCGACATGCAAATGGCCTGAGAAGTACATGACGTGGGGCCCCGAATTTGATAACTAAGTTGGTTCACTACAATAACTGGGGGTTATGCGGGATATATCTGTAGTGAGCAGGGCTTATAAATCAACTTATCACCTTTGGGGGCCCCACGTGGTGTAGAGATCATCATCCCCAATACATAACACCACTAACCCTTTGGTAAACTCAGATTGCTATATTGCTATAATATGGAACATAATGAACAATAAGAATTGTCTATACCATCTGGTTATTAAAATAGCCATGGAATATCCCTTATAAATGGAGGTTTTTATGGGAAAATCATCTATAAATGGGCAATTTTCCAAAGCTATGGCTACCACAGGGTACCCTGTGGCAAGAAAAATCTGTGGTCCACGTAATAGTCACCTCAGATTCCACTATTGAACTATTGGACTTCACGATGATTTCAGGTGGTGAATGCTATCTTTTTATGGTGGTTTAATAGGAAAACCATAGGAAAATGGTGGTTTAAAGACTTTTTATGGTGGTTTAATGGGATTTCATTGGGATTTACCATCTGGTAAACATACAGAAAACTATGGAGAATCACCATTTTTAATAGGTAAATCAACTACAAACGGGCCATGTTCAATAGCTTTGGCTTTTGTATGTTTACCAAAGGGTAAGTATACCTGGATGATCCAGACATGGTCAAAGCCTTTTCTTCCGATGTCTCTTTCTGAGCCATGCCCTACTTACTTGGAATATCTAACTCTATGTATATATATATATATGTAGTATAAGATATTATATATGTATATACAGTATAAATGATATGTTTTAAATCTAATATATATAAATATATACACAATATTCACCAAACCTTATTCCAACCCAAGAATGAGCCACTTTGTTGCCTACAGCTGTCCTCCATCACTGCCGGTCAGTCTTTTCCATGCTTTATCGGCAACGGGTCCCCACCTTGTAAAGGATCATCATATCCCCACTGTGTCTGTATGTATGTGTATATATATATGATTACATAATATTATAGTATATATTGAACACCCCCCAACGAAACCATAGTTGTGTAGAGATTTACACGTATAACTGGAACCTTTTGGGGGGGTGTTTCATATTAGGGGGATGGGATTATATCCTCTCTATCGATCGATCGATCGATCGATCGATCGAACGATCAATCGATCTATCTATCTATCCATCTATCCATCTATTCATCTATCCATCTATCCATCTATCCATCTATCCATCTATCCATCTATCCATCTATCCATCTATCCATCTATCTATCTATCTATCTATCTATCCATCTATCTATCTATCTATCTATCCATCTATCCATCTATCTATCTATCCATCTATCCATCTATCGATCTATCTATCTATCTATCCATCTATCTATCTATCTATCCATCTATCTATTTATCTATCTATCTATCTATCTTTCCATCTATCCATCTATCCATCTATCTATCTATCTATCGATCTATCGATCGATCGATCTATCGATCTATCGATCTATCGATCTATCTATCTATCTATCTATATCTATCTATATATCTATCTATCTATATATCTATCTATCTATCTACCTATCTATCTATCTATCTATCTATCTATCTATATATATATATCTATATGTATACATATTAATGATCCCCATTTATTCACAATGTTCATTGATTTCCCCATATTTTCCCTGGAATGATCAACTCCAACATGACCACCTTAGCTGCCTTAGCTCAACCGTGGCCGCACGGCAGCACTGGGTTCCCCCAACACACTCTGCTCCAATGCCGCCCTCGGAAGGGTCTGCACCATAGACCTGGAGGGGAACTGCACCAGAATTTATGGGAAATCTATGGAAAATCTATGGAAAATCATGGATTTATGGGAAATCTATGGAAAATCTATGGAAAATCATGGATTTATGGGAAATCTATGGAAAATCTATGGGAAATATGGGAAAATTGTTAATAAACCCTTGAAAACTATAGTTAAACCATAGTTAGATCTACCATAAACCATAGAATTCAGCCACTTAGAAAAAGGCAACTGAACGCGAGCTCGAACGGGGAAAAATCCTCTACCTTCGCGAATGGATTTGGTAGGGCCAGCGGCGGCCAGCCACATGAATGTGATCATTTTTCCAATGTTCGCACGTACTCCATTTCCTAATGCTCCAGGGATGCAATATTTAGCAACCTGTACCCCCAAACAATTGCCCACATGTAACCAGACCAAACATACCCTGAAAAAATACATAAAATAAATGTGAAATGTTGGACAACTGGGGGGTTCCCCTGTTTTAAGAACCACCCCTTTTTGGTGAAGCAGAGCAAACTCCACGATTTTTTTTCGCATTTTTTTCTCCAGTCGAGGAGGCATCATTTTACCAAAAATGGCCAGGAAAATCCTTGTTTACCCTTCGGTATGCAACGTTGCGCAGTATTCTTTTGTGAGCAAGAAACAAATCCTGAACTGGAGACAAGATTAAGTAAACATAAATAAAAACCATTGGATGATTCCCCCAATTCCTAGCATCATCTACAGTGAAATTGGTCAGCAAAGTGGCTTTTGCTAAGCCAAAAATGCCAACAGCCGACTGATAAACCTTTGGTCTTCTCTCAACTCGAGCTGGTCCAACGAAGCTTGCATTTGATAAAGGTTGGGAAAAATATGACATGCGGAAGATAGTACTCTGAATAGCAATGTGGTTCAAACAATTAAAAAACCACCCATTTGAAAAATGGTAAAAAAGTGATTTGGGGGATGGTTTACCTGTTGAGTTGTTTTACCCACATTACTCTAAATAGTATTCTAACTAGTAATTTGATGTACCCTCCAGTAAATTCACAGTTTGACCCTGAAAATCACCAATTCTTATTGGTTTCACTAATCTTCCAACCCTGATGACTGGCAGGGTCTATGTTAATTGGATGTTACTTATTATGTTATAAAACCAACCAACAGAACCGGACTAGGTGCAAAAATGATGTTTCCATTAAAAAGTTGTCATGTTCAGGGTCTACGTATGTTCATTTACCAAAGGGTAATGTGTATCTATTCTGGCTGGTGGTTTCAACCCCTCTGAAAAATATGAAAGTCAGTTGGGATGATGACATTCCCAACTGAATGGAAAGTCATAAAATTCCATGGTTCCAAACCACCAACCAGCTATTCTCCCATTAAAATGGCCATAGAAATAGTTGATTTACCAATTAAAAATGGTGATTTTCCATAGTTATGTTAGTTTACCAGGCCGGGTAAATCCCATTAAATCCCATTAAACCATCATAAACCCTCATGAAAAATCACCATTTTCCAAAACACCAGTAATTCTATCTATACATCTGCAAAAACATCCCCATTTTGGGCTTCGGTTGACAGGTCCGACATCTCCGTGCCGGCCTCGAACATGGAGTAGCACGGCGCCATGGAATTCTCCGGAAGCTTCACCTACGAACCGTTCGGTGGTGCCCCAGTGAGCGATTCATCGCGTGCACAAATGGTGCACATAACTCCAATTTCACATAGTTTCACGATGGTTTATGGATGTTTATGGTAGATATATCTATAATTCTATCCAGTAACTATGGCTTGTTGGTGGTTTCAACCCATCTGAAAAATTATGAAAGTCAATGGGAAGGATTATCCCATAT